GTGGTAAATTATGAAATTTTGTAGCAAGCACCACTCATCCCGATTACGGCTCGCACAGGTTTGAGGATTAATCTTCCATTTCGTCCGCTAACCCTCGAGGATCTCAATCCACTTGTCCCCCGTGCTGCTGTGCTCTGCGAGAGAATCGTGAATTTTTGATTGACTGCGATAGTTCGAAGGATAACCCGAATCCATCCTACATATATTCAGATGATAAGCCAAATCTACACAACCACAACAAATTTCATTTGGTCAGTTTCAAGTCAACTAACACATCTCGGATGTCGGCCGGTTTCCTAACTGCTCTTATACTGCTAACCACAGTGAATGCAAAATCTAACGTGAGTTAATTTGGCAGAGCTGTTGGGCGGAAAGAACATTTTAATCCGTGATTTGACTATGATCAATTACAGTCCACTGACAAAGAGTATCGCTCATGCAAAGGGCCGCTGTCGTTTCCGAAGAAAGGGACTGATCTGCCAGACTGGTGCAAAAGCATGAGAATAGATGTGGGATCCTGCATGAGCAAAAAAGTCAGTTTATATTCTTTGCAGGAAAGTGTTCAGCAGATTACCCAGTACAAGGGCTCGTAGAGTGTTTTGATACCAATGGTCAGTGTGGTTCACTTGGAGGAAACTTCCACCACACTAATGAGCACAAACAAACAAATGAGCTACGATATCACACAGTTGTGGGTACTATCGCACTTTGTGGCAGCACTGGTTATAAGAACTTATGAAAGTCTTATTTAACCACATCGTACCGCATGTGACACAATGCCCATGGGACATGTTGTCAGATGACATGTCCTAACAAGTAGTGAACTGATTTCGTCCGACGATAAGTCCATCTAATCATTGCTACCACAACTACGATAGCACCCAGCTGTAATGCTCGCACCGTACAAGACTGGAATGCCCTCCCTTCCCACTTCATCTATCATGTGAACGAACAGGAAGCCGTCATGGTATCATTGTTAATGACACTGTGAAGTGTGCTCACCTACGCGTCAATAAGCGCTGTTGACGTCAATGGCACATCATCTGGTAGTCACCTACTGACTGTAGCCATATGAAATAAGCACAGTTTCTTTTCCCCGTCCCATGCAAACTGCATATCGCTTGCTCGATACCCCCTTAAAGGGCAATGCCCGCGACAGTCGATGAGCAGATAGACTGATCTGCAGAAATCCCGATTGCAATTTTCGCTGCGCAAAAGCAAGCAAGGAGACCGGCGATGTCGTCGTTCCTCCCACTGGCCCAACATTTCCGCTCGCCACTCAAGTTATTCGTAATAACAGCAGATTTTCTATAAGAAATTATCTGTGACCAACTGCGGCCACCTCGGTCACAACACCACGCCCGGTGATCTTGTCGGATCACATCCTTTGATCGCCCTCTGCTCGTACAACCGATTTTGCTACGAGGGGTTTTTGGGGCATTTGCGATTCTTCATTCTCTGCTCTCTCTGTCTTGTGTTTTCTTTTGTCCGTTTTCCCCGCCACTGACTTTCTTGGCACACTGACATCGTTATTTGAGCATCACTCACCATAATGTTCAAGCGTGCTTCGCCTTTAAGCCGCGGTTCTGTAAAATTATTCCTGGTAGTTGATCGGAGGTGTCTCCCCTTCTCTATCTCCTCGCCGTGGCAAAATCTGGATTACTCGGGATAGTGGGATAGGTTGAGTGGCATTCGCATTTGGCAGAAGAAATTTTCCATAACCTCGAAACGACCTAACGCACTAGACCGCACACCAGTGCTATATTAGCGCTGGATTTTTACTCAAACCTAGGAGGG